AATAATCAAGTGTTGGTGACTGTGGAAGGAACTGGGTATTCATAGACTCTTTCTCTTCATCTTAAAGCAGTCCCTTTAGCATATTTTGCAGTGCTGGTTTGGCGGAGGTGTATTCTTTTAGCCTTCTTTTGTCTGGGAAACTCCTTATTTCGCCTTCCATTTTAACTGAGAGCCTTGCTGGGCAGAGCAATCTTGGTTGCAGGCCTCTGTTTTTCATGACTTGGAATATTTCTTGCCATTTTCTTCTGGCTTGTAGTGTTCCTGTTGAGAAGTCAGCTGCTAGCTGTACCGGGGCTCCCTTATATGTTACTACCTCTTTCTCCCTTGCTTCCCTTCGGATTCTCTGTTTGTCTTTGATATTTGCCATTTTAATGATGATGTGTCTTGCAGTGGGCCTCATTGGGTTCTTCTTGAAGGGGACCCTCTGTGCTTCCTGGGCTTGTGTGACTTTTTCTCTCCTCAAATTAGGGATGTTTTCCATCATTACTTTTTCAAACAGGTTCTCTATGCCTTACTCCTCTTCTCCTTCTGGTATCCCTATTGTACGAATATGATTATGTTTCATTGTCTTGCATTTCCCTCAACGCCTCTTCATTCTTTTTGAGTCTTTCTTCATTTTCTTGCTCTTTCTGGGCGCTTTTTTCTACCTTGTCCCCCAGCTCACTGATTCGATCCTCAGCTTCATCTAGCCTGATTTTGATTCCTTCTACTGTGTTCTTCAATTCAGAAATTGTATTCTTCATTTCCTCTTGTCTCTTATTGATAGTTTCGATGTCCTTTTTCATGCTGATATAGTTTGCAGTAAGTTCCTCGTAGTTTCTCTGTAGTTTTTTGTAATTCTCTATGAGCTCACTGAGCTCATTGATCTTCCTTATAACCGTTGTTTTGTACTCAATATCTGATAGTTTCCTTGCCTCTATTTCATTTAGCTCTCTTTCTGGGGGATTCCTCCTTTCCCTTCGACTAGGGGGCTGTTTCTTTGTCTTCCCATTATTTGTGAGACTCTTCCTTTTTGCTTCTGCTTCTTCAGTTGATCTATCTTGATTTCCTGACTTTGTGGTGTGAACTTCTATGGTAGGAGGCTGCTCTTTTTACTTTCTGGTCCTGCCTCTGATGATGTCAGATGTTGACCCTGTCTGACCTCAGGCAGTCTGTTTGAGACTTCCACGAATGTACTGTCTGTGGCTATCTCCTTCAGCTGTTAATCTAGTCCCTCTGCACTCAGCAGGCTGGTAGAGACACCATAGGGTAGGGTGAAGTCCCTCCCGGGGGTGGGGTTGTTGGGTCCTCTCTTGCTGCTGCTCAGGGGAGTGGTCTCCCTGAGCAAGATGGCTGCTGCCATATGGGGGATGAGTCAGCACCGAGATCCCACTGGCTATTCTCTCCATTCTCTCCCCAAAGCCTCCGTCTCCAGTCTCCCCTCAAGAGTCTCTATACCAATCTGTGTCCCCTTTAGCCAGGGATCTACTGTCTGTGGCTGCCACTCTGCACTGAGCAGGCCGGCTTAGACAACATAGGTTGCAGCTAGGGGCTTCCTCAAGGTGGGGTTATTGGGTCCTCTGATGCTGTTGCTGCTCGGGGGAGTGGTCTCCCTGAGCAAGATCGCTCTAGAGGTCTGGGGGATGACTCAGCACCGGAATCCTGCTGGCTACTCTCTCAGTTCTATCCACAAAGCCGCCTTCCTCAGTCTCTCCTCAGGTTTCTCCAGCCCACTCTGCCCGCCTTTGCCAGAGACCACGGTAAGTGGCTACAAATAAAAATTCACGTGTTGGCGCTTTAAAAGGCTCTTTGTGTCTCCCGCCACCTGCTTCTGGCCAAGAGCAACCCTATCACTTTTTGCAGCTGGCTGTTTTCTGTGTGTTTTCTGGGCTCTGGTGCTGCAGGTTGGAGATTCCCACGTATTGTTTTGACCCCGCTGTTCTCAGGGGGATCCAACTGGCCGTTTCATTATCCTTCTGGTACTGCCGCCCATGAGCGCCCTGCCCGCCCTCTTGAGTCTCTACCTCACACTCCTTCCCAGTCAGGTTGTGCTAAAGCTGATTCTTCTGTCTCTCCAAGGTTATAAGGCTCCTCTCTTGCTATTGTTCAGTTGTTTGTTCCAGGCGATTTCTCCAAAATTTAGTTGTAATTCCAGGTTGGTCCTGGGAAGAAGTCAGTTGGACTTCCATTCATCCTTCCACCATTTTGGTTCTCTCCATGTTATGCGATTTTGAAAAAGATTTTATTTATTTAGTTTTAGAGAGAGGGGAAGGGAGGGAAAAGGACAGGAAGAGAAATCAATGTGAGAGAGAAACACCTATACTGCCTCTCGTACATGTTCTGACCGGGGAACCGAACCCGCAGCCTAGGCATATGCCCTGACCAGGAATGGAACTGGTGCCCTTTCACTTTCTGGGATAACATCCAACCCCTAGCCACTTGGCTTAGGGCATGTATGTGTTTTTTAACACAAAAAAAAAAAAAAAGAAGGAAATTTTGAACCTTATGCTAAGTAAAATGAGCAACACAATAACGGACAAATAGAGTATGTTTCCACTTTATTAGATAACTATTTAGTCAAACTCAGAGAGAAAATAGAACAGCAGTTGCTAGGGCCTGAGGGGAGGAGAGACCAAGAAGTTATTATTTAATGTGCAGAGTTTCAGTTTAGGAAGATGAAAAGTTCTAGAGATGGATGATGGTAATGGTAACAAAACAAGGTGAGTGTACTTAATGCCATTGACCTGCATAACTAAAAATGGTTAAAATAGATATTGTTACATATATTTTCACAACAATAAAGAGATCACTAGATAATTTCTTTCAATAATTCTCTCTTCATTCTTTAGTTGGGGGAACAAGGAAAGAGATACCCCTCTTACAGAGGGCAGGAATGGAAGACAGGGACATCCCATAGTCTCCAGAGCCAGAGTTCCAGGCAGTGAGAGGGTGGGAAGTGGTGGTTTGTGAAGTTCACCTGAGTAGGGCTTGTGTAATAAACATGTTTATATAGTGCTGGGTACACTACTCCTAGTCTTTTGCTAAAAAGAGTAGCTTTTGGGGGGGATATTATTTTTTCATCTGCAGCTATAAGTGTTTCTGGGTTTCAGGTCTCTCAAGAGCTCATGTCAGAGTACATGAAAGAAAGAAATAAAACAAAAAATTGGAAACTCACTACCTACTTGGTAGTTCCTTGAGTCTTATAAACCCTAGCCAGTCACCTTCCTTTCTCCACCTTTCAGAATCTTGTGTCAGTTGCTTCATGAATTTTAGACCAGTTTTTAATTAGTTAATTAATTAACTTATAATTCCTGGAAAGGACAGGGTAGAATGTGCTTACTCCATTTCCTCTGGACATAAGCTACAGTAGCTGCACTTGCTAGTTTTATACTCATGGGGTATTTTTTAAACTCGTTAAGTAGTTTACTACATTTCACCACTTAGTAATTCTTGATACTACATTTTCCCTGTTAAAGATACTGGTGTGATAGTCACGTCCTGACTGATAAGCAGTCTTTGGAGGTGATGAAGCTTAGGGTGTGACCATCAATGTACATGGTGGGGTATGTGGAGATGATCACTGGAGATGAAGATGTCATCAAGGAGAGAAACTGAGGTGCTGGAAGGATCATCCACATCACAGCTGAAGTCACAGAAACAAGGGAAGAGAGAAAGACCGTGAGCCAGGACCTCGTGGGCTCAGCACCTTTACCACGTTATGCCACGACCGCCAAGCACTTCCACGAATGAACCCAGGGGCTCGCATAGGGGCATCCTGCATCAAAACCCTGATTCGAATAGTCTGCAGGGAGCACTTGTCATTGTTGGGTAATGTCGAGAACCCCAGTCTGGCGTCAAAAAATCTAGTTCCAATCCTGGCTTGATCACGTACATTCCAGCTCTATGACCTTCCCAATACATTTCAAACCACATTTCTTGATCTTTGAATTAAATGTTCGTTTCTCTTCCTTTTGCCTCACAGAGAGGCTGGGAAGGGAGTCTGTACTCACCACACTCACTAATTTCCTCGTGCTAGAGATGAAGCCTTTCTACTTCCAGCTGCTCAGGTACGTAGATTGCACAGGACGACACATCTCTTGTCCACACCCCTGCTCTGGTCCAGGTATTCTTTTGTTTTCCCTTGGACATTGCTATGCCCACTACCCATCTCCTGAAGAAGGCTCCCCCATAGATGGCCAGATGAGTCTTTCTAAAACATGTCTTTTTAAGACAAGAAGGTAATCTGGTAAAACCTGCGACGGCGGCGCTTTACACATGTGGGGATCTCTGTGATCCAGTCGCAGGGAGCCTTGCAGCCATTCCTCCTCCTCACGTGGCCCTCTCCTGTTCCCAAAGCCTATCAATTTGGCATCCATGCAGGTTAGCTCACCGATTGTTGTCCTGCTTTATGTGCCCTTGAGAAAGCTGTTGCCTCTGCCTGTATTACCATCTTTCCCCATATCCACTTGGTAAAGTAACATTTTTCCTTCAAGACTCAATCCAAACACAATTCTGAGTATTAGGTCTTTTTCACACAAAAGGAGGTGGCCTTTTGCTCCACTGAAGTTCCACTGCATTTGACTTAATCTTCTCTGGAAGGCACCGCCACAAATGGTCTGATACTGTGGTAAACATGCCATGCCTCCTTTACTGGCTGGGAACATCTCTTAGGCAGCAGTGTACTGTACTCATTTCCCTCTCAACAGCCCTCAGAAGAAGGCCTGGAATACAGCAGGTGTCTGGGTACTGTTAGGTAAGCATATTGTTAGGTAAGTGCACGGGGTTTAAGTTTTAAGCATGGTTTGCAATGGGACAACTATGAACTATGTGTGGAGTCTATATAGAGTGTGATTTGGAAGGGAGAAATGGCTCATATGTGTGTGTGTGTATGCTATGTGCATCTACAGCACATGAGCACTGGAGAAACCCATCAAGCTTGTCCTCTCTACAACTGGGGCCAGGCTGGTCATCTTCCGTGGCACTGGCCTTACCTCCTCCCCACCCAACCCCTGCTTTCCTACCTCAGGTATACATCAGACTCCAGCCCAAAGGCCCCGTGTTCGACAGCTTTCTCAAAGGACATCATGGTATTCTCAGGGCCCAGCTGTGGGAGAAAAGGACATCAGACCATTTACCTCCGAGTTTCTCTTCCCAACATCCCTTTTATAGGAGGGAGGGTGTCCAGCGACAAAAAGGTTTCAGGGAGCAGACCTTGGCTTCGTCGGAGACTTTTTTAAAGAACCTACCTATGTTCTCCCCCACCCAATATGAACCTAGGACTCTGCTCACCTGAGCGCCTGAGGCAAAGCCACTGGGCACAGTACCGAGAAATGGACTGACAGGTGACCTGGGTTCAAGTGCAACCTCCACAGTTAACTCTTGATTCTTGTCACCTAAAGCCAGCCCCTTTTCTTCTCCAGAGATTCCTGAGATTCTGACGTCCCCTTCTCTTATCCACAGAGTCCATGCACACAGCTACTCACCCATGTTCATCATGTTCACACCTACCATGGGTGCACCTCTATGTCCAAAGATGCCTGGCTTGGGTCCCAATTTATCCTTCTCCTGAAGGCAGGGAGAATAAATCCCAAATGGCACCATAAACAGACATAAAAGGATAAGAAAAAATGGCAATCCAACAGTCACTTGTACAGCTGAAAAAGTTGGAAGGAGGAGGGAATAAGAAAAAAAACATAAAGAGGAATGGAGACCATCCCAAGCAACTAACTATCCCAAAGCAGCACTCAGTAAACACCAGGGCACGGGTTTCGTTGACTCTGTGGACTGCCTGATTGACACTCTATTTCTGTCCGAACCTCATTTATTTTCAAGGATTTGAAAGAACAGGACTATCCAAATGTAAGCATTATTATGAAGGCAATATTATTTGACTGAAAGTTTACAGGAAATTAACTGTGTGAGGGGTGGGAAGCAAAGGAAGGAGAGGGCGTGTTAAGGAATACCTTCTCAGGAGCACGGGGAGAACGCCTGGTGCTGAGAAAGCCCTGAGGCCAGTAAAGATCAGCCTACAACGCCCCTACATATAACGCAGTGCAGGACAGCGGAAGGGGCACTGGCTGACAGAAATCTGCGTTCAAAGTCAGACACTACCACTGTCACATTGTGTGACTAAGGACACACTGTTTATCCACTCTGGGTCTCCCTCCTCTTCATTCGGAAAGATGGGGCTATCTTGCTGCTAACGTCTACCTCACAGAGCTGATATGACAGTGCTGACTCATAATAGGTACTCACTAAATATTAATACTGTATTTGCTTCCCTCTCTCTCACACGCACACACCCGCACACACCTCATCCACCATGCCTGTTATCACTGGCCACTCCCCAACACTTCTAATTGTAGGCCTCTGAGGATTTTACCCATGTGTACATTTTTAAGTTACCACCTATACTTCAGGTACTTTCAAATCTGTCTCCAGCTCTAACCTCTCAGCTTTGTGAGCCTAGTACATCTCTGGACTCTTCTCCTTTGATGTATACTCTTGTCTCTTCTGAATCTAGCTAAAATTTCAGAAATGGAAAAGAGTTCATTATTGTCCCCTTTCAGCTCTTGCCCCAAAACATTTCCTACAATTCATCCTCCACATACAAGGACACATACGCACATGTAGAAACACACAATGGCGCCACTACCCATCTAGTCATTCTCTTGTCTCCATCCTTGTACAATCAGGAAGCAAACACTCCTGTGTAAACAGCAGTAAAGAGACATAGAAAAAAGGGCCCACTGGTTCCTTATTAAGGGTGCTGAGGGATAACTCCATTCTCAAAACAACTTCTGATTCTCTTTGGTTTCCATGATATTAGGGAAAAGAACGGAGAGGAATCCAATGGCTGACATAGACATTTCTCCTGCTGCTCTAAGTTCCCAGGCGTGACAGACACAGCGGCCTGTTTTGTGTTATTAGAGGAAAACCAGGGATCTCTGAGCTAGTATAAGTTCACTAGTGGAAACGGTAACAGTTGAATGCAGTCTCAAAGAACAGAGTGACTCGTACCATCACTCTGTCAAATAAAATTAAAATGGCCTCTACCCTCCCCCTAACCCCATTCTATTTCAGACAGTCATTGTTTTAACAACATGGAGATAATTCTTGCTTTCCTAGGAGAATCCCTCTTTAGAAGCAGGCCTGTTTGGTCAGGAAAATGTCTGAGTGGCCATGTGGGGTTGTGAGTTTGGCCATAAGGAACATGCCTGAGTAATAAGCTAAACAGATTTCACAGGGGCAGAGTGGTGGCTATCTACCAAGCTTGTGCTTTGCTGAGTAGAGTGTGCAAGCTAAAGCCAGATTTGGAAGGATCAGGCTCCGCCCACACGACATACCTTCTTGTTCCCAATGGACCAAGTAGAAGGCCACAGGCCAGGAAAGGAGAACCATCACAGGTATGCTGCTCAGGTGCAAGTAGGGAGCAAAGACCTGGGAAAAAGCCAAAAGTCAGGCTGACCGCACTGGCCAAACAGTGCTAGACCTACAGGATGATGCGTACCTTCAGTGAGAGCCCCAATGTCAGCCACCTGTCGTTCCAGTATTTGCATAAAACCGTCATAAAAAACGTGCATATCCCAATCACTAGCACAGTCAGGATCTGAGGAAACAAAACAGTATCTCCTGACTGCCAGACTCTCGGCTTTGATGATCAGAACTGTCCTTGGGAATTGCATGTGTGTCCCCACAATGTCAGGGACCTCATTTCCTCATCCTTCTACTCTGACCATCCTGCAAATCCCCAATGTTGGATAAATCCAATCACTTACCTTCTTTGCCTCCAAGTTTTTGTTGTATAGCAGGGCTGGGAAAAAAAGTCACACAGCTACATGGTCTGATGCCTTTACTAATTACCATCTCCAGCCTCACCTGCGCCCTCAGCATTGCCTGCAATCTCTCACTCAGTTTCAACAATGACCACTATAAATATCACTACTTATTTTATCCCAGTTAATAGAGTCACAAGTAAATAATATTTTGTAATTACCTTTTCAATGTATGTTTTCCCAACAGACTATCAACTTCATGACATCAAGTAAAGTATTTAGGATTATATCCTCACTGCCTTGCAGAATGTCTGACACATAGGAAGCATTGGGTAAATACTTTTTGAACAGATGAAAAGACTCTGCCTCATGCCAGAACACTGTACACTTCATAAAGTACCTTGAGACCAAGGTTCTCAAGGTTCTATACATTTTCCTTGAAATGTATAGTCTTTTTACAAATACATTTTTTTACATCTGTCCTGCTTTCTAGAAAGTGCTTAGTTCCTTTCCATAATCTGTCCTCTAAGACTTGCTGGCATGAATGGTTAACTTTACGAAACATGGAGGTGATCAAAAGTAGGCCTACAGTTGTGCTATGTGAAACACTGAGTTAATAAAGCTATTGTAATAATCCTAACTTTCCTATATTCTTCGTTATGAACAACTGTTAACTTACTTTTGCTTCCCTCTATATTTAAGAAAGAAATATTTCTAATCATTGACAAACTCTTCTAGAGAATAGAAAGAGAGGTAACACTTTCTAACTTCTCTTGTGAAGCCAACAAAATATTGATATCTAAACTCAACAAGGACATTACAAGAAATTAAAAAATATAGTCATGTGCCACAATAACGTTTTGGTCAATGACAAACCTCATATACAATGGTGGTTCCCATAAGACTATAATGGAGCTGAAAATTTTCTATCACCTAGTTATGTTGTAGCATCATAATGTCGTTGCACAATGCATTAGCAAAGCACTTGTGGTGATGCTGGCGTAAACAAACCTACTGCACTCCAGTGGTAGAAATGCACAGTATCTTTTCTATGTTTAGTTATGTTTACATACACAAATACTAACTATTGTCTCAGAAGTGCCTACAATATTCGGTACAGTAACATGCTGTACAGGTCTGTAGCCTGGGAGCAATAGGCTGTAACACTTAGGGTTGACTAAATATACTCTACGACGTTGCACAATCACAAAATCACCAAGGAATGCTTTTCTCAGAATGCATTTCTGTCATTAGTGACACTTGAATGTATAGGCCTACCTCTCCTATGTAAGTCGATGCAAAAATCTTAAATAACGTATTAGCAAATTAAGTGCATCACAGCACAAAGGTTTAACTGTCAAATCAGATTCGCATGAGTCTCATGATTCTGCGACTTTGCCCAACACCAACCTTAACTAGTGATTTAAAGAATACAAGCAATTAGGTACAGAAGACATTTTCCCTTGGAGAAATCTGATCCTGTCAAATTCACATACTAATAAAAAGTTATTTCCTCTCCTGTACTAGGATACATTCCAGTCTCAGGCTTAAAATATGCGGTGTGTTTTGAGCAAAGTGTGCGGAAACACTGCTTCATAGGAGGAGCCTTTGTGGTGATGGAACATGCTTATCTGATATCCATTAATTATACAACTCCAGCCAGCCATGCCTCCCACACTATAAATCTATAAATTCCAGGTTTCTTTACAATAATCAACCCAGATATACCACGCTATACCCTGCTAGATATTTTCATGGATAAAGACTCCCATTACCTTTGGCTAATAAACATCTTTATATGTGTTTTCCAGGAGGTTGGGTTATTAGCATGTTTACAAGGCGTTTTGATTGAAGTCATTCATTCCTCTCTGAGCATCCCTAACTAGAAGAGGAATGGGTTATACACCTGGTGCTAACCCTTTCCTCCCAGGTTTATCCAGAGCACACTAAAACTAAAACTCCAAGCCAACAGGGTCTCCCTTGCCAACAGAGGCAGTCTCTCTTCTCAAGTCTCATAAGCCTATCCTCCACTGGTTTCAAAATTTATTGATGAGAACACCTACTACAGCTTCTGAACAGTTTATCAAAATCCAGGTATTATGAATCTTGAAGTGGTTCTAATTGTTTCTTTGGTTACCGGAAACCTTGCCTCAACAGTGGTCCATGCTTGATGACATCGGTGTAATATAGAAGAAAGTATCCAGAAATTTAATGAGAAAAGTTGGCTGGAATGCTCTCACCCATGGCGAGCCTACCCTCTCCCTATCACGTTCTGTGGAGGGGTCTCAGAGGACACTGAAACTACATGCTGAGGAAAGCGTCAGCATCCATGAAAAGTGCCGCAGGGGCCCTCCTCAGCGCCCGAGGAAAGGTGAGAGATGCCGCCATCGAAACTGGCTTCCTGACTTCCAGGCAATGAGGAGGTCCTGCTGAGGCAGGGGCCACGCAGCGGCAGAGGCAACGTAAGCGTGATTTCTACCACAGGCGCGAGCCTGGGATGTAGTCATCAGATGGTTCATCCAGGAGGCATCCTTTGTAGTGACTAACTGATCAAGGTGTCCCAACTCAAAAGAAGATAGCGATTTCAATAAGACCTATTTTCTTCACTTCTCAATTCACATTCTTTCCCAAAAAAGACAGTATGACTTCCATTTCCATTCATTCTATTGTAATAACACTTAAGTTTACATTTCCAGTTCATCTGTCTCTTGAGTACAAGGAAATTTAAGAGAATAACCCAGAGAGTTTGTCATGTTCCTGGATTTTGGGAAACAGGAGGAAATGTATCAAACCCATGTCTGAAACGGTCTATAAAAAAGCAAGGGGCTGTGGTGGAGCTGCCCAAGCACAAGGCAGAACAAAATGAGGGAGGAGGCTATGTTGGAAAAGACCTGCGTGTTCACAGATGGTGCAGGGAAGGGGCACAGATACCTGCTTTCTGGGGACTGAATACAGACCCTTTGAGAGAGGCCATGCCGATGTCATTTTAAAAAGCTCCAAATGAAGGGACCTCACCCGACAAACTTAGGGGGTACAGGAAGACAGGCATTGACTCCACCAAGAGAGTTGTAGTCAGGCTTCTCGAAGGGTCTCTGAAAAAACACAGAGGAGAAGCCCATGGTGCACATATCTGGTCCTGATGGGTCAACCCCAGAGGGCCCCCTTGCCCTTCCTTGAGGGACTGTGTTGTTTTATCCCATCTCCTATTCCCCTGCGCCCCTCTTTGGTGAGACGAGGGTGACGGGACCAGTGAGCTCTCTCCACCAATGTGGGCTCCCACCCGCGGGGACGGGAAAACCATCAAGTTGGAGTTTGGGTCATTTCAACAAACTGAATTTTTAATGACAGAAATTAGAATGTCCTTGTGACTACAGAGGACTGGGAAAGGAACAGCTCACCTCACATTTTAAAGGGATGGGAAGAACAGAGTCACAGACTAAGTTAAACAAGAAGTAGAGCAAAAAATAAAGATGGCATTCAGATCCTTCAGTAAATCAGTTATACCTGTTAGAAATTTAATGATTTCAGTTAAAACAGAGTAAGTAGATCTGTTCCTTCTAACGGGAATGGGGAAGAAAGCACAATGCTATGCTTACACTCAGTGCCAAAAAGGCACATTCAGACCTGGTGTAAGGTGCCCTAAAGAGTCAGATGTCCCACCTTATGACACCAGTGCAGGTAGAGTTCATTCCCTTCCCAAATCAACAAAAATCCAAGTACCTGAAAAAGCAAAGAAGAAAAAGGATGTTATTCTGAAATCACCAAGTTGTGGCCCACAGCGCTGTTCTGTATTCAAATGCCTTTCACTTCATTCACTTCTTGCTCCACCTGCACTTCTTGGCCCCTGGGAGTTGCCATGCTGTTCCGCTGCCTGAAAGCTCTCCCCCGCCATGCCACTGACCTTTCAAAGCCAGTTCAAATGTCGCCTCCTGTCGTAACTTTTCCCAGCATCCCCAGGAAGAGCTAATTATTATGCTCTCCACACACTGATATCCTTCCTAAGTTCCTACCAATTTCTTATCCCTGTGATGGACCTTATTCCTGGAACTATTACTTAGACCCACTTGTGAGAGAACAGAGGGCAGGGGCCACCACTCCCAAGGGTTATTTCAAAGTCCTTTCTTGAGGATCCAGTGTCATTGTCACAACTCTTAATCACTGCTCTCAACAATGGATTTAGTCTGTAAATCTTAGTTAGATTTCAGTGTAAATATAGCCAGTCACCAAGTCAATGTAGAAACAGAAACTCAAAAGTGGAATCTGGATGCTTAGAATATTACAAAGTGTAGGAATGTATATGGCACTTCCCTTTTTACTGAAATAATTTCATGTATATGATTTCATTTCTTTACCCAGCTCTATAAAATACCATTGTATTATATATTATCATTGTCATTTCAAACAAAAGAAACTGAGTCTCAGAAGAGTTATATGATTTGACCAAGTTAAAAGTAACCCAAAGATGGAGCTGAAGTAGAACTCAGGTTTCCCTCTTGTTCACTGTTGTTGCCATTATGTGTATCCAAAAAGAGCTAGGATAGAGCAGGGAGTTTGTTAAAATATGAAAGATGGTGAAGACATTAGCCAAAAAACGTACATGTATAACTTGTGGACACAGGTAACAGTGTGGGATGGCCAGAGGGAAGGGGGGGCTGGGGACTGGTTAGATGGGTACATAGGGGTATGTGTGGGGGAACATAGGGACATCTGTGCTAGTGTCAACAATAAAGAAAAAAAATGACCTTTAAAATATAGTGGAATCTTTATAACACGGTATAAAGAGGTGGATGGGGACCCTGAAAATCTTTTGTAATACATAAAGGTTCCTTGTAAGCTTTCTCCTGTGAAAATATTAAAGGAATTGTTGAACATAAAAAAAATATGCCTTATTGGACATAACTCATTCCCACCTTAGAAGCTAACTGCAGCACTTCACATTTATTGTGACTGAAAGCAGTACAATTCAGTGGCCAGAGTCTGGCCCAGGCCACTTCATTCATCTGCATTTTCCCTGCTATAAAGAAAAGGGTCTAACTGGTCTCTCTGCCTATAGGCAACCTCCACACCACAACTGCTAAGATGATTTTCCTAAAATAGAAATCCGATTTATGCCAAACATTTTAGACTTACTTTCCAGGCCTTCCAAAAGCTGTCACAAGCCTATGTTTTTAGCCATATTTCCCTCTATTCTTCACTATGCCCTTCACGCTAACAGAACTGACCTTTCCCTCTAATATTGTCACACCTTGTATTTTTCTATCTTGCCAACTTTGCCATGATGTCTCTCAGCCTGGAATGCTCCTCTCCATCCCCATATATTCACATCCAAATCCAACATCCCTTCACGATCCCACTCCAGTGCCAACTCTTCCAAGAAGCCTTACTCTTGGCAGAAGTCACCTCTTCCTTTTCAGAATCCATGCAGAATTTTATTTAGGTCTCTCTAATGACAATTGTAATGCTCTGCATATGTTAGTTATATTTTATCTATTGTTAAGGTGTCCTACTAGATTCTAAGCTCATTGAATTAAGGAACTATAGTCAGTTTACATTTCATACCTATCTCTTTGAAGTGCCCTGCATGAAAACAGAAACTGGTTGTTTGTTGACCTCTGTACACTCAGTATTTAGTCAGTGTTTAATCATGACTAAACACATCATGATTAATAAACTTTATTGAGAGAAAAAAATGAATGCAAATGGCAGTTGATTAGGGGGTTGGGTTCTTTTCTATCAGTTAGTAAATCAGTGGGGACAAGAAATCATGAAATCAGAGAAAGGTATATATGCCCTATGTACAAATAGGCACTGAAAAACTCAAATTTCCTAAAAGCTGTGAAACAACACACCAAGCCTGTTGATCAGCTTAAAACTTGGTCTGCCCCCTTAAATAAGATTAGTGGTTAGTGCAATCTTTGAGTTATCTTACAGAGACAGCACTGTCCCTGTGCCATACCATCTCTCAAGACTGAGGAAACTTTAAAGAGGGAGGAGTAAAACCAGACATTAACAAAGTTTTTTGTCCCTTACAAAAACCAATTAGACTGGACTGAAATCAGACACTAAGAAATTGGACACTAACCAAATTTTTAAAAGTATTTCACAGGAAAAAAAAAAACCAACAACAACGCAGGAAGCTTTTCTCCAGACCCTCACAGAGACCGGTTGAAACTGGCAGACACTGGCTGGGACAAGTCGAGCTAACCTAAGCCTGCGCAGACAACTCTTGAAACTTTTTTTCCCCACCAAACTCTGCCAAGATTGGAAATCCTCTGCACTTTCCTTTGCCTCTCTAATATCCCTTACCCTATAGGCTTAAATCTCAAAATTATTCCATCAAACCTTCCAACTATAAACTTGTGAAAATTTATAATCTCTTCTTACCTTCAACCCTTAAAACTTGTCTCAGGCCTTTTTTCCAGGAGACTGAGTTGAGTCTTGCCTTCAGTCTCCTTGTATTGCTGCCTCACAATAAATCCTCTCTGTCTTCAAAAGCTCACTGCCTCCGGGTTTAGCTTCTCAGTTGCCTGGCAGGATGTGAACCCACTTACTTGGATGGGTTACAGTTGTCCTCCCATTAGCTTTCCACTTCCACAGACTTTACCCTTTCCTAGCCTGAATTTCTACCCCTATGTGACACTACTCTGTAACAACAGAAGCAGGGTCACTATTGTCAAAAGACTTTTGCTACAATGTCATTTTGCACCTGGACTACCACAGTAGCATTTGCACCTTATAACAGGTATAAAAAACTAGCTAATTTGTAAGGCCCAGAAAAACTGATTCTCAGGAGACAGGAAAGGAAATGAGTTAGTTCAATATGTAAAGGTACTACTATTGCAAAGCTGTGGGTGCCTAAAATAACAATATTGAGTGAACCATAACATAGGCTATGAAGTGGGAATAGACAAAGGATGTTCTGCCAGCTTTTCAAAGGGTTGAAGTAATGTTTCCTCTAACAGCACAAGTCCATTTTTCTCCATTGACCCCTTGTGCCTAATATACAAGCAATTGATGCAAACCCAATTCTACTCAGACAAGAGTGATCTCAGGTTCTGAAGGCTCCCAGCACCAGCTGGGCACCATATCATAGACAGGAGCACCTCATGAGTGGGTGCTCACTCATGAAGGGAGTGCGAGAAATGGGGAACATTACTCACCAACAGCAATGAAGAGTAGGCAGCCAGGATTCCAAATAAACTCAGCAAAAGAAGGGACCAGAAGTACCAGTATCCTGTAAGTAGATACACAACCCTGCAAAAATGTGTTTCAGTCCTTAAAATACAGCAGAAAGTAGTACATCTGTGTCAAGGATGGGGGACAAGACTGGACTAGACATGGCATAAAAAAACTGAAGGAGATAAGAAGAGAAGCATTTTGGGAACATATCTGTGAATAGCTTTAGGGATAGTCAGTTAGGAGTTGTAACTTTTCCTATACGTTACTGGGTACTTTAATAAGAGTCTGTATAATTGGTATGATTCTTTAATGTTATTTAGAATATTTACTCAAAAATTATGTCCTCTTTAGAAAGCAATATGATAATATAGAAATTCTGAAATGCCAAAAGAGAAAAGTCATCCAAAAGGTCACCATCTTAATAAAGCTAGTGCTTTCCATTTTGGCAGGTACCTTGTCCATGTACCTATAGGTTTTCCTACATAAATGCAATCATGACTACCACATTAATTAATCTATTCTGTATGATTTGGGCCATTAAAACAGTCCTGATCTGTTCTTTTCCAAAAGTAGTTTATGAGAGAAAACTAATAATGATTTACTAAGAGAAACAATATTATACTTGGTCTAGATATATCTCAAAAAGTTTAGATTCTTCATTTCAAGGTAACAGAAATTACCTCCTTTCCATATAACACTCAGAAAAATTATATTTTAAAGCTATGACATACAAATTAGTGAACAGATAACCGCATTAAAAATAAGAAAGGAAATTCTCTTTGGTCAGGGATATAAGACACATCAAGAAGAAAGGAACAGACTAGCGGCCATCCTAGGGAGAGCCATCTCAGATCAAGACACAAATAAGAGTGCTCTGTAGAACATGAGTCTACAATCAGGAATCAAAAAATGTAATGCCAACAAATGAACTGAATAAAGTCAATAAACAGAATAACTTGCACCCAAGCAATATTATTAATAGAACCATCAGAATAGGACCACAAAATAGACTTCTGGCCAAGATGGAGGGGTAGGTAAATACATTTTGCCTCCTTAAACAACAACAAAAAGATAACAAATTTAAAAACAAAAAACAACCAGAACTGCCAGAAAACCAAACTGTATGGAAGTCCAACTCCCAAGAAGTTAAAGAAGAAACTTTCATCCAGACTGGTGGGGGCGTGGAGACAGGCAGCCAGGGTGGAAAGGATGCACAGCAAGGTGGCACCTGGAGCACTGGGCAGGCGAGGTGGCGGCTAGTGGTCCCATATTTGCATGCAATAAACCAGGAGAACCAACAGGGGAGTGACACAGACCAGGGTTCCAGTGCAAGACTCAAAACCTCTGGCTATAAAAACGAGTGGGGATTGTGGTGGGAGAAACTCTCAGCCTCATAGCAGTGTTTGTTGGAGAGACTCACAGGGTCCTAGAATGTACACAAACCCACTCACCCAGGAATCAGCACCAAAAGGGCCCAAATAGCTTGTGGGTAGTGGAGGAAGTGACTGAAAATGGGATGAGAGTCTAGCAAGCAGCACTGTTCTCTCTCTGACTCCTCCCCACATACAGCACCACAATGTAGAGACATGAGTTGCCTCACCCTGGTGAATACCTAAGGCTCTGCCCCTTACAACATTATAGATTTAATAAATATATATAAAATATGTATAGGTATAATAGGTACACCGAGACAAAGAAATATGGCCCAAATGAAAGAACAGATCAAAACTCCAAAAAAAGAACTAAGTGATGAACAGATGGCCAACCTATCAGATGCAGAGTTCAAAACACTGGTAATCTGGGTGCTCACAGAAATGGTGGAGTATGGTCACAAAATAAAGGATAATGTGAAGGCTATGCAAAGTGAAATAAAGAAAAATATAGGGGAACCAACAGTGAACAGAAGGATACCAGGACTCAAATCAATGATTTGGAGCAGAAGAAAGAAATAAACATTGAACCAGGACAGAATGAAGAAACAAGAATTCAAAAAAAAAAAAAGAGGAATCTCCAGGACAATTTTAAAAGTTCCAACATCTAAATCATGGGGTACCAGAAGGAGAAGAGGAAGAGTAGGAGATTGAAAACTTAATTTGAAAAAATAATGAAGGAGAACTTCCCAATCTGGAGAAGGAAAGAGACTTCCAGGAAGCTCAGAGAGTCCCAAAGAAATTGAACCCAAGGAAGGACACACCAAGGCACATCATAATTAAATTACCCCAAGATTAAAGATAAGGAGAGAATCTTAAAAGCAGAAAGACACAACGAGACAGTTACCTACAAAGGAGTTCCCATAAGACTATCAGCTGCTTTCTCAAAAGAAACCTTACAGGCAAGAAGGGGCAGGAAAGAAGTATTCAAAGTCACGAAAGGCAAGGACCTACATTCAAGATTACTCTATCTGACAAAGCTATCATTTAGAATGGAAGGGCAGATAAAGTGCTTCCCAGATAAGGTAAAGATAAAGGAGTTCATCATTACCAAGCCCTCATTATATGAAATGTTAAAGGGACTTATCTAAGAAAAAGATCAAAACTATGAACAGTAAAATGACAGCAAACTCACAATTATCAACAACTGAACTTAAAGAAAGAAACAAAAACAAAAAGAAACTAAGCATACTACTAGAACAGGAACAGAATCACAGAAGTGGAGATCACATGGAGAGTTATCAGCAGGGAAGGAGAGGGAGGAGAATGGGGGAAAAGGTACAGAGAATAAGAAGCATAAATGGTAGGTACAAAATAGACAGAGGGATGTCAAGAACAGCATAGGAAATGGAGAAGCTAAAGAACATATTAATTGGTGCTGACACTGTGGTATGTAGGGTATGTATTGGGAGAAGATGCACAAGAGATGCATCTTTCAGTGATGGGAAGGAGGGAAGTTATTCAACTAAGACAGCCTCGTTGGGGCAACCTCCTCATCTGAATCCATACTCCGTGCACTAACATATAAAGAAATCTTCCATGGACATGAACTAATGGGCAGGTGTAATGCTGGTGAGAGGGGGGTGCAGGGTGGAGGGGAATCAAGAGGAGAAAAAAATGGGACAACTGTAATAGCATAATCAATAAAATATACTTAGAAAAAGAATAGGACCACAAAATAAAAATACTTAAGATATTCAGAGAAATCAAGGAAGGACTCACATCCAAATAATAGAAATAGGAGGTTAATGCAATCATGGTGATTATCAGAACAGTAAAAGTTATCTTGAAAAAGAACATGAAAGATGAACTTAATAGCAGTTTAGATACAGCCAAAAAAATAATAAAACAGCTTAAGCAAGCAGTGATAATGACTCTGCTTTCCAAGTCATAAAGAAAAGTAAGGTCTACCATTTAATAGTGCCTCTACCAATTCTAATAATTTCTATGACCATATTAGATTTTTTTCACTCCCTTTCTATATAAAAGGTCTTCTTTTATGTATTCAATCACATGGAAATATTATTAGTTTGGATGAGCTCAAAACTCACTCACCAAACTCAGGTGAAGTGCTTGCTTGCTCACCCACTTGATGTGAAACTACAGGTAAATGAAGAGTGATTTTTCTGTCTTTTTCTTCCATTTTCTACTTCATCTGCTCTCATTTTTGATGGCAGTGGTGGGGCAACAAAGGAGAGTGAGAAGAATGAAAAGCAGTTTAAGTAAATGTATATACAGCAGTGGAATTGAAAAAGTGTCTTTCTCAGCTATCCCTCTTTTAAACTGGGGACACACAGCTGCTGATGACTGTTCCTTAGGCTCACTCTACATATTTCCAAGAAGCTTATCTCCCTGCTCTTGGCCATGATTTTACATCCCTCTAGCAGCATAATCACGCACCCCTATTGGATGAAGGTGTTATTCACTAAGGTGTTATTCAACTAAGACAGCCTCGTTGGGGCAACCTCCTCATCTGAATCCATACTCCGTGCACTAACATATAAAGAAATCTTCCAGGACCTCTTCCCTCCTTCCCATCACTGAAAGATGCATCTCTTGTGCATCTTCTCCCAATACATACCCTACATACCACAGTGTCAGCACCAATTGTCAGTTGACAGTTAACTCTGAGAAAGAAAAGACACACTGTAGAGAGGCATTGGGAACATTTATGTAGCCAAGAATGGGGAGAAAAGTCTTACTCCACAACACACTTGGGGGAAAAAGGAGGAGGGACAGTTACACCATAAAAAATCTGCTCTACCTTTCTCTTGCTAAGGGGAACAACTATAAAAACTGAATGATACCTTTAAAAAAGTGACCTAAATGAAGGCTTTATGTGAGAAACTAGGGAACCAAGATCCAAATAAGAGACGAAACCCAAAGACATAACTTTGGCATTTGGAATGATTTTTCTTCAGAAGTGGCTAGATACAGGGCAGAGGGCTTGCTACATCTTGCTACAGTTGGAGTAAAAAAAAAAGAGAAAAATAATAATTTGGTAAATGCTATTCACTTTGATTTGGGATCTTCCAGGACTATAGCCTAGGAGTAAGCACAACTTGGAAATTGACTGCTTCTGGGAACTGAATCCTAGCTTCAGACCAGGTGCGACATTGGGTTACGGTGAATAGGATTTGCTAATAACCCCAGTTACCTCTCAGAGTAACTCTTAGAGAGGACATAATATAATTCAAGGTCTCAAATGACTTATACAACTTTTTATATACAATTGCTGGTATTCAAGCAAAAACAATGAGGCATACTAGGAGAGGAGACCACATTAGTAAAAGCTAAAAGAAATAATGGACAACATAAAAAGATCTTCAGCAAATCTCGAGAACGTCTGTATCAGACACAGACTTCTAAACAACTATCCTTAAAATGTTTAGACTAGCCCTGGCTAGGTAGCTCAGTTGGTTAGAGCATAGTCTTGATACACCAAGGCTGTGGGTTTGATCTCTGGTCAGGGCACATAGAAAAAGCAACCAATGAATGCATAAATAAGTGCAACAACAAATCGATGACTGACTGTCTCTGTCTCTCCCTTCCTCTCTCTCTAAAATCAATCAATAAATTTCTAGAACAATGTTTAGATTGGGACAAAATTAGAATTTCAGTAGAGAATTACTAAAGAAAGTTTCAATTAGGAATTTTATAAAGGAAAATACAAGTATCAACAACTTTTAAGAACTCAGTGAGTGGATTTAATAGCAGGTAAGAAAAAGCTAAAAATATCTGTTAAACAAAAGGTTAAAAAAATCAAGAATGAAACAGAGACACATGAAAAAATAAGAAAAATATAGCAGAAGTCTGAGACACTAAGGGTATGAAGGGAAAAGGTCTAATATACATAAACTTGAAGTGTCAAAAACAGGCAATAGAAAATAGGGTAAAATCAATATGTGAAAAGGTAATGGCTAAGAACTTTTCCAAAATGATTTAAAGTATTGTATTGGTTTAGGATCACTCAGAAATGCATTTATTGGAGGGATCAGACTTAATACTAGTATAGAAGCTGCCAAAGAAGGTTATGTGAGGCTGTTACATTTGTTTTAGATATTTGGCCCAAAGTTGCCAGACATCACACAGGCCAGCAGTTAGGAAAGAAAACTGAACATGACATATGGAAGAACAGAAAGCCATGAAGATGAACTGGACCCACAAGGACAAACTGAAACACACAAGGACAGACTGGAACCCATGAGAACACACACAAACCATGAAACCTGTGTCTGTCTATTACTATGTGGAGAGTTTAGCTAAGCTACCCCCATGGTATTACTGTCTAAGCAATTTTTTTTTTTTTTTTTGGCCAAGCAGCTGGCAAGGACCTTAAACTGACACTAGATCCCTCATGTTGCCTCAGATAGCAGAGTCACAAGCAAACAAGCTCCTGAAATGACCTGTGATGAACAGTCTCCCCTGCTTCCCAGAACCTATATGCCTTATGTGTCCTAGATAAGACCCCCATAGGGATAAACAAAACTCTGCTCTTTTAATTTGAATTGACCAATTTCACCCTAGCCCAGGAACCCAGAAATACTACAACCATGAACCATAATAAAGGCATCATATAAAGGCATGTGCTCCAGGTCCTGCCTCTCTCTGTCTGCACTCTCCCCTGACCTCCCTGTGTGGCCCCTCAAGGCCTGCCATGTACTTCTTCCAGTACTCGGGAGTGATAAACTTCTCTATTTCAATTTCTCTTGTGGTCTGCTCTTTAACTTGCACTCACCATTACTGTAGCCTGGAATCACCATCCAGCACCCCATGCTCCACTTAACTAATGTAAATTTAACAAAGTCACAAGACACTGCTTCCAACTTAATGATAACAGTGACCTGCAGGAAAACCTGGTCCCTTTCATCATTGAGCTGCATATTCACCTGGCCCAGGACATGGAGAACCTGAAGATCTGGCAGGAGCAGGGAGGATGCAGGCACAGGTGCTGCTCCATGCCAACTAACTAAAATACCAGATCCTGACATTGCACAAGGGCTGCTGTGATGCCTGGGCCCATTGCTGATCTTCAAAGTGCAAAAAAAAAAAAAAAAAAAAAAAAGGCTTTCAATTCACTCCCCACTTCCAAATTTTATGCAAATTTCTCTTGTGACTAATCCTAACCCAATCCTATACTGAGAATGGAATTCTGAGAAATGTAGCTTCACATTAGCTAAGTTGACCCAGTTAGTACACTACCACATTCCACTCAACTTGGTGTCTATACACATCTCTATTAATCATGCTTACTTTGTCTGCCATAATGCAGTTATCTCTCATACAACCAAAAACACACCAATATTCTCTCCAAAAGAGGATACAGAATTCCTTTATTACCACTGCCAACAGAAAATAATGTAAAGGCAATATTTGAAAAGATAGTGGGTGAGAACTTTTCAAAATGATTAAAAATATTGTTTTGGTCTAGGGTTAATCAGAAATGGATTTATTATAGGGATTAGAATTTATTTTATTATAGAAGCTTCCAGAGAAGTCTGTGTAAGGCTGTTACATCTACTCTGATATGTGAACACTGGGTGATGTTTATATCTCTAACTTAAGCACTATCTATAATATTAACACATTTTATTTTCAATGGTAGAGGAATAGAAGAAAAATTTGTGCGTGTGTTTGTGTGTGTGTGTGTATAAAGTATCATTATCCAGAAAGTATCTATCCATGTACTGTGAAAAATAGAGGCATTTATTAAAGAAGATACAAGATACAAGACACACTGTACATGGGACAATGACACTTCTGTTCCCTTCAAAGTAGGGACCTTGGGACCTCATACAGTTCTCCCAGCATCTCTTCCACTGGTCAAAACACTCTGCCAAATCCTTTCCTGGAATTACCATCAGCTGCCCCATTGTATTTTCCTGAATCTCATCGATGATCTGAAATCTCTTCCCTTTCAAAGGTGATTTTAGTTTTGGGAAAAGCCAGAAGTTACAGCGCCAAATATGGGCTGTAGGGGGCGCTGAGTCATCTGGGTGATCTGATGTTTCTCCAAAAAACTGGACAAGAGGTGATGCAGGAGCAGGTATGTTGTCATAATGAAGCTGTCAATCACCAAATGCCCATACCTGCAGCCATTTTCATTGTATTGCAGCTCTCAACCAATGAAGAACATTGAGGTAGTACACCTTATTAATTGTTTGGCCTAGAGGGCATACTCATGATTAACAACACATTCCCCATCAAAAAACACAGTTAACATGATCTTGATCTTCTTGCAACTTTGCTGCACCTTCTTCAGGTATGGAGAACCAGGTGACGTCCACTGGGATGACTGGGCCTTTGTTTCCGGATCACAGCCATAGACCCACCATTGATTTCTGGTTATGACCTTCTTGATGAAATCTAGTTTATTGGCATTAGTTTGAATCAGATCATTAGCAACTGCAGCACAATGTTCCTTCTACTCTGGTAGTGGAAGCCGCAGAATGAATTTTGCCATGATACATTTTGTGCCAAGTTCCTGCATCAGTATCTTAGACACAATAGTTTTTGGAACCCCCAGACTAGCTTCTAGTTCTCGCACAGTCAGCTGATGATCTTTGTTGATTGCAGCCCATACATGTTCAACATCCTCAGGTTTTCTTTCTGATGTAGGTATTCCAGAACTTGGATCCTTTTCAACAGATTCTTGACCGTCTTTGAAGCATTTGTGCTACAATTTTATTTGTGCTGCATTCATTGCATTCACCCCCAAAACTATTCTGAATCATCCAAATAGTTTTCACAGAGGAATATTCAACCTTAACACATAATTTGATGCAGATTCATTGCTCTACTCACTCAGTTATTTTGAATGCAATGGCCACACAGTACACATGTTCACTCAATGATGTCTACCACCCTCACTGACCACTGACTAGTACACTGAAGTCATCTTCGTTCATGCATATGCATTACAGTCCACTGTCCTTGGCTGCCAGGTTACATTGATGTTGCACAAACTGTTCTCATTATATTAATAATGACTGGATTTTTTCTGGACAGACCTTGTATATTTAACCCTGGCCAGGTGGCAGAGTTGGTTGGAGTGTCATCCTGTACACCAAAAAGGTTCTGAGTTCAATCCCCAGTCAGGGCACATACCTAGGTTGTGAATTTGATTACTGGTCAAGGTGCATATGGGAGGCAACCAACTGACGTTTCTTACATCAATATTTCTCTCTCTACCTCTCTCTTTCCCTCTCCCTTCCACTTTCTCTAAGTCAATAAACATATCCTCGGGTAAGGATAAAAAAAAGGTACAACTTCCAGTTATAAGATAAGTAAGTTCTAGGAATAAAATATATAACATAGTGACTATAGTTAACAATACTATACTGTATATTTGAATGTTGCTAAGAGAGTAGATCTGAAGAGTTATCATTTACAAGGAAAAAATTTGGAGCTCTGCGAAGTAATAGATGTTAACTAAATTTATTGTGAAGACCATTTTGTATTATATACATATATCAAAACACTATGTGGTATACCTTAAATTTATATAATGCTACATGTCAATTACATCTCAATAAAACTGGGGGCAAACCTTCAGCTCATAGCATATTCAATGATGAAGAGATAAAACCTTTTCCTATGAGATCATGACCAAGGATGTATACCCATTCTTGCCACTATTATTTAACATAGTATGAGAAGTCCTAGCCATAGCAATTAGGCAAGAAAAAGAAATAAAAGGCATCCAAATTGGAAAGAAAGAGGTAAAATTGTCATTATTTGCAGGTGACATGATAATATAAATAGGAAATCCTAATAATTCCACCATAAAACTGCTAGAATAAATGAATTCAGTAATGTGTTATAAACCCAAATTCTGGGGTACCACCCCAGACTTGCTAAATCATGGAAGCTGGGTGGGAGGCCAGCCATTTATGCTGTAACAAGCTGTCCAGAGAACTCTGGTGCTCATTCATATTTGAGAACCACTGGCCTGGATTGAACTCCTATCACTGACTATCTCTGGGACCTTTCTGTGCCTCACTTCCCACATCTGTAGAATGGGAAAAACAATGGTATATCTGTTTCAAAGAGTGGGTATGTGTTTTTCAAAAGTTGAAAAGTAATACACAGACACTATTATTAATTAATAACAATTAATGTCATTAATTAATTGACATTGTACAAGGACTTGGCTTTCTGATTTTCTCCTCTCAACTGCTGGCTGTGCCTACAGAGGCTGGAGGTGTGACAGAAACATCAGTGTTCACTAAAAAACATCATGAAGGGCAACTGGCATAGGCATCAGTAATCCAGACAAAAAGACTGAGGAATAGGATTGCAAACACTGGAGGAGAGAGAAACTTCCCCCTGAACCAGATTTGGTCTCAATGAGAGAGTGAGCACAAGTGGACAGGAAGTATGTCAGGTAAGGGCGCTGGCATCCTTACTCTGCCCCTGGGTCAGGCCTCTCAAACACCAGGTGTGGAAAGCCCAATTCTGTCCACCTTCCCTCTTGTGCCATTGGCTCTTCCACCCTGAGGCAGGACCCACGTGGCTATCAGACCACAAAGCCCTTTCACAAAAGAAAATACAAAAAGTGAAACTCACCAGTCAAAGCCATTATATTCATTTGAGGTCTCTATCCACACGAACAGCAAAACCAGAGACATGAAAAATGCAATAACCAGAAATGGGTAAAATAATTGCTCTCTCTGGGAAGAGAAAAAAGGAAGTCAAATTTAACTCCACTTATCTGTTGTCTCAGCAGTACTTGTACGCACCTGCCAAAGGTCTGTCTAGTTACCGTGCCATGTGTTACCCTCCCCAGGCTGCGCTGAACTCTGTACTCTTTTTATCCCTATGGAATTTTGTATAAGCCTATTGTAACATTTATTATACTAAAATGAAATTAGGAGTTTATATATTTGTGTCTGTTGTGAGTTTCCTACTCTGAGGAAAAGGAACTTCTGTTACACATCTCTGTAATGCCAATATCTAACATAGTTCCTTAAAGGCAGCTGGCTCTCAACAATTATCTGATGAATTCACCCCCTCTCCATCTACTGAATGTTTGATAACTCACTCATTTAATAATTCATTCATTCACTGTTCATCAGTTCATTCAGTCATTTATTCACACTTGGAGGGGGCATAAGCTAGTTAGAGAATAAGCCTTTTTTAGTAGCTATTTTGTGCTACTACAATGCTAGGGACTTGACAAGCTATTTTCATTTTGTATATTTCTCAATATAGCCATTTTATATTAGGTATTGTTAACTTAATTTTGCAGAAGGAAGAACTAAAGCTCAACAAGGTAAAGTAACTGACTCAGTCATAAGGACAAGTAGCAGAGATACTGACCAGATCTGTGAACCCAAAAGGAGGATGGAGGATATTCCAAGTGAGCCTTGAGGGCAACCCCCTACGCTGAAATCATGTCACAGACGAGCCATGCCAGAGGATGCCAAACCCTTCCTGAAACATTAGGTTTTGGCCGCTACCTGAGCTATAATCCTAACACTTCTCTATCACAGTAGTAAGAAATCCATCTCTTAAAGACACTGCTTTTACTGTTAAAAATGAACAGAATAATCCCTACCCTGCTTAAATCATGGGGTCCTTGTGAAGAATAAGAATGAAGAAGTAAAATGGAAAACATGGAAAGGGCATTCTAAAAAGAGGAGAGACATTACAGGAATCAAGACATTCACTGAACTACCACTTCTGAGTATAGGAGGATGAAGAATACAGGATTTGACTCAGGTCTTCTTCTGTCCACAAAACTTGGGCGAACTTTTAAAAACATACTCAGATAATGTCCCTTCCCTGCTCACAACCCTCCCAGAGCTTCCTGTTGTACCAGAGTATCATCCAACCTGCCCGCCGTGGCCCACAAAGTCCTTCCATGATCCATCAATCCTGGCCCACACCAACCTCATCACAATCTATACACTGACTCTATTTCTGAACTCCAGCCACACTAGCCTGGCCTTATTTCGGTTTCTAGAACATAACCAAATTTTTTTTCCACCACAAGCTTTGTACTTCCTGGTTCTTCTGCCTAGAATACTTTTGCCCCCAGACACACGGCTGGCTCTACCTCTTCATTTAGGCAACAGCTCCCATTACCCTCATTCAAAGAAGCCTTCACTAACCATTCTCCCATCTCAGTTTCTAATACATTTTTTATTTATTCTATTTATTACCTTCAAAGCTTTTACAACTATCTGGAATCATTTACTCTTCATTTATTGTTTATTGCCTAACATCCCACTAGAATATAAAATGCAAGGGGCCCAGGTGCCTCAGTGTTTTATTCACTATTGAACATAGTAGGTATTCCATAAATTGTTTTTATTGAATAAATGCATTTCCTTATTTAGATTTTCATTATTTTCACTCTTGCTCAAAAATTTTTAAAGACTCCCCATTGTTTATAGGAGTTTAAATATTTTGTTGTGATATAAACATGCTTCATAATTTGATCAAAGTACTCCTCTCCAACCCTACCCCTCACCATTTGTTGCCTTACATGTCACTAAACTCAACAATGAAAATTTGTTTTTCCCTAAACACACCATTGTGATTCTCTATCCCCGGATTTCTGACCATCTTACTCCCTCCACCCAGAAACCCTCTACTATTATTCATATATGTGGAAGGTCATTTCCACAAGTTGGTAACTCCAAAAATAGTTACAATAGCGAACATTTATTTTGGTGCTATTTGTGTGCGAGGCCCAATTCTAAGTGTTTTCCTCGTATTATCTCTTCTATCCTTACAACAAATCCTATCGGTGGGTATTATTATTATTATTATCCCCATTATTCTAATGAGAAATCTAAAGCACTAGAATGTTAATTAACCTGCCCAAGATTCCACAGTGATAAAACGCTTTTCCTTAAGGTTCACTGAGTGAATAAAAACAAAAATAAGTGAATTAAAAATGAATGATATAAAAGAGGTAGTAAGGAAAAGGCACGTGAAGAATAAAAGTGAAAGAAAATGAAGAAAACAGGCACATGTTTCAGTAAAGTTCACTTTGGCTCCAGAATTGTGGCAGACCTTTCATGAGAGAACTAGAGCCCAGGCACGCCCAGTTCAGGAGACTACTGAGCCCTCATGGCGGCAGGGGCCAGCCCGTGTTCCCCACATCTCAGGAAGTGCGGTCCATATCCTCCCCATCTCTCTGTACCAAAGAGCAGCAGCAGAATGCACGTCTATTTTTGTTCTCTGGTTTGGCCTCCCACTCGCAGCTGTATAAACCAGAAACGTAGGTGACATAGCATTCGTGGTTACAATTGCCAGCTGTACACGGACTACACTCTTTCCATCTTCTTGTCTTCCTCTCGTCCTCCGTTTGCATGGTTCACCCTTTTGCTGGAATTACAAATAAAACAATCAGGAACTAGGAGCTGCTTTAAATGTTTCCTGCCCCACCATTCTACAAAAAAATCCATTACAAATAAATAATTTTAAAAAATTATAATCTAAGATAATGCACTGGATTCAGGGCAGAAGACTAGCACTTCATCCCACCTTCCCCACTAACTCGTTGAGTGTTTATTGCAGTCTTTGCACCATTCGAGATTTGGTTTTCTCCCCTCCAAAATGGGACCATATTCTCTGTTCTAGACAACAAACAGATGCTGAGAGCATCACATTATGTTTTTTAAACTGCAATATGCTCTTGCAATAACTTGAGAACTCAGAGGCATGGGCCACAATCCCTGACTAATACATGACTCTCCCACACTGCCCCCCCCCCCCCGTCCCCTTCTCTCTTCTGCCATGTGGAACCAGTGAGGGTTAGGCTCAATTAGGAATGACAGAACATTCAAAATAGCAACAGCTGAAATAAGACAGGTTTATTTTTCCCTTTGCAGACAAACATTTCAAAGGTACAAAGAACAAATGATGTGGTATGTGGCTTCACAGTGCCTTTAGGAACCCAGACACTGGCCATCTTGCTGTGCCACAGCAGTGCAGGGCTTCCTTCTCAAGGTCCAAAAAACGGCTGCGCCAGCTAGATCCGTACTCCAACTCCAACTAGAAGGTAGGAGGAGGGAATGAAGAAGGGTGCTCCCCTGTATTTTAAGGACATGTACAGAAGCTGAACCTGACATTTCACTGGCAGGCAGGGGTTTTCTTACTAGTAAAAAAAAGGAAAAACAGATATTGAGGGATGTCTGGGTGTCACTACTGCATTTTCTCACCCCACTGTGATAGAAGCTTGTTGTTCTCATACATAGGAAGGAACTTTTAGAGAATGTGTGGAATGTGTGTGGGGGGGGGCAGAAATTTATTTAAAAACAAACAAGAACAGCCTTTAAGGATCTGACCCCAAGCAATAGTCTCTGCCCCTAAAAACCTTCTGTTGTGCTTCACGTGTGTGTGTGTGAGAGAGAGAGAGAGAGAGAGAGAGAGAGAGAGAGAGAGAGAGAGAGAAAGGCACTGCAGTATTGTACTTAAGATTGTATAGTCTGAACATCCACTTCTGGCCAAAATGGAATAACAGGGATGGCAGTAACCTCTCATTTTAAGTGACTAAAAATCTGGGGAAAATACGAAACAACAGTTTTCAGGCAGTGGACAAAAGTCAGTGAAGGTAGCAATTCATGAAAGTGGGGAAGCAAAGGAAGTGAAAACAGGCATATCTGAGATATTATGGGTTTGGTGCCAGACCACTGCCATAAAATGAATATTGTAATAAAGCAAGTCATGCAAATTTTTTCGTTTCCCAGTGCATATAGAGATCATGTTTATACTATACTATAGTCTGTTAAGGTTGCAAAAGCAGTATGTCTAAAAAAACAACACGCATATTTTATTATTATTTTTAAAGATTTCATTTATTTATTTTTAGACAGAGGGGAAGGGCAGAAGAAAAAGAGGAAGAAAAACATTGATTGGTTGCTTCTCACATGCCCCCAATGGGGAACCTGGCCCTCAATCCAAGTACCTGCTCTGATTGGGAATCAATCTGGTGACCTCCTGGTTTACGGGAAGATGTCCAACCCACTGAGCCACACTGGTCAGGGTTACATACCTTAATTTAAAATATTTTATTCCCCCAAAATGCTAACCATCACTGAGCCTTCAGCAAGTTGTAATCTTTGTGCCGGTGGAGCGTCTCACCTTGGTATTGATAACTGCTGACTGATCAGAGTGGTGGTTGCTGAAGGTTAACATGGCTGTGGCAATTTCATAAAAATAAGACAGCAGTGAGGTGTGTCCCATCGCTTGACTCTCTTTCAGAAATAATGCCTCTGTAGCATGTGATACAATTTGATAACATTTAAAACACAGTAGTACTTTCAAAATTGAAGTCAATTCTCTCAAACCCTGCTGCTCCTTTATCAACTAAGTTTACCTAATTTCCTAAATCCTTTGTTTCATTTCAATCTTCACCAGGAATAGATTTCATCACAAGACAACACTTTGCTCATCCATGACAGGCAACTCCTCATCCATTGAAATTTTATCATGAGATTGCAGCAATTCAGTCACATCTTCAGACTCAACTTCTGAATCTGTTCTCTTTCCACTTCTATCATATCTGCAGTTACTCTTCCTCTGAAGTCTTGAAACCATTCAATGTCATCCATGAGGGTTGAAAACAATTTCTTCCAAATTCCTTTTAATGTTGATATTTTGACCTCTTCCCATTAATCATGAATGTTCTTACTGGCATCTAGACTGGTAAATCCTTAGAGAATTTACTTTACCCAGATCCATCAGAAAATTACTCTCTTTGGCATCTAGAACCTTATGAAGTATATTTCTTAAACAAAACTTGAAAGTCAAAATTACTCTCTGATCTATGGACTGAAGAATAGATTTTGTGTTACTAGGCATGAAAACAACATTAATCTCATTGTACATCTCCATCAGAGTTCTTGGGTGGCCAAATGCATTATCAATGAGCAGTAATATTTTCAAAGGTATCTTTTTTTCTGAGCAGATATCAATAGCAGGCTTAAAATATTTAGTAAACCATTTACAAACAGATGTGCTATTATCCAAGCTTTGTTGTTTCATTTATAGAGCACAGGTAGAGTATATTTAGCATCATTGTTAAGGGTCTTATGGTTTTTGAATTGGTAAATGAGCACTGGTTTCATCTTAAAGTCACCAGCTGTATTAAGTGCTAACAAGCATCCGCCTGTCCTTTGAAGCTTTGAGACAAGGCACTGATTTCTTCTCTCCAGCTATGGAAGTTCTAGATGGCATCTTTTTCCAATGTAATGCTATAGCCACCTTCTTAATGATCTCAGGTAGATCTTCTGGAAAACCTGCTGTAGCTTGTACATCGGCACTAGCTGCTTCATCTTGCACTTTCACGTGAAAAAGACGACTTCTTTCCTTAAATCTCAGGAGCCAACCTCTGATAGCTTAAAACTTCTCTTCTGCAGCTTTTTCACCTCCCTCAGCCTACATTAAATTGAAGAAAGTTAGGGAATGGCCTGGCTTAGGTTTTGGCTTTAGTGGAATATTGTGGCTGGTCTGATCTTTTATCCAAACCACTAAAACTTTCTCCATATCAATAAAAAGGCTTTTTTGCTTTCTTATCATTTGTTCCCTGGAGCAGCACTTTTAATTTCCTCCAAGAACTTTTCTTTTGCATTCACAACTTGGCTAACTGTTTGGTGCAACAGGCCTAGCTTTCAGCCTAACTCGACTTTCAACATACTCTTCTCACTAAAACTAAACATTTCTTAGCTTTTGAATTAAAGTGAGACATCTGACTCTGCCTTTCCCTTAAACACTTAGAGGCCATTGTAGGGTTATTAATTGGCCTAATTTCAATATTATTGTCTCTCAGAGAATAGGAAATCCCAAAAAAGAAGGAGAGAGAGAGGGGAAAGGCTTATCAGAGGGCAAGTCAGAACATACAAACTTTTATCAAGTTTGCCATCTTTTTTTTTTTAAAGATTTTATTTATTTTATTTTTAGACAGAGGGGAAAGGAGAGAGAAAGAGAGGGAGAGAAACATCAATGTGTGGTTGGCTCTTTGGCACCCCTTACTAGGGATCTGGCCTGCGACCCAGGCATGTGCCCTGAATGGGAATTGAACTGGCAACCCCTTGGTTCAGAAGCCAGCACTCAATCCACTTAGCCACACCAGCCAGGTCTCAAGGTTGCCATCTTATATGGGTACAGTTCTTGGCACCCAAAAACAATAACAGATACCATAACATAAATAATAATGAAAAAGTTTGAAACATTGTGAAAATTACCAAAATGTGACATTGAGACACAAAGTGACCAACTACTGTTGGAAAAATGATACAGGATTGCTAACAACCTTTTATGTGTAAAAAGAGAATATCTGTAAAGTGCAATAAAACAAGGTATGTCTGTATTGTTAATGTCCCCTTTACAATGTGGATAGAGTTTCCAGGATGAAGCACTGGAAGTAAGAATGCAAGTAAAGTCTGACAGTATCCCTGAACAAAGCAGATAGAAATGAGGGTCTGGGGAGAGAGTGTCTCCCCGTGAGTCTCCAACTGAATAGTGACCAGTACATGTTTGTGGAGAAGTTACCTGAAGTTACGTTTTGTGTGGTTGAAACTAGAAAAACAATCACACAAAAGGAGGTAGTGAGACAATCTCCAGGGCTCACAAAAGGCTGGGAATGGTTGGTGTTTCCATCAGAGCAGGAAAAGTTGTAATACACAGAACACTAGGTAGCACACTCAGAAGGGTATTTGCCTCAGTAATGGAAAAAACTTAGGCCCTCATTAAAGGCTTCGATGGCCTGGCCTAATGAAGCTTTAAGCTGAGTTTCAAAAGAGCCAAATTCTTTTCAAGTAACTTGACTGTGCTCAAGAACAAAGATCAAGAGTACTTTTTTAAATGGGAGAAGTAGCAAACAAAGCCAAATACCTAGCATCCAATAAAAAAATTACCAGATACAGGTCAATATCCCTGATGAACACAGATGTATGGTGCCAGGTGGGTACTGGAAATAGCAGGGGGAACACTTTGTAAAGTATATGATTGTCTAACCACCATGTTGCACACCTGAAACTAATACAAAATAATATATAATGTATAGTGTTGAAAAAAGTAATAAAATAAATGTTAAGGAAAGAAATTATCAGACACACACACAAAAAAAGGCAAGAAAAAGGCATAGAGAGAGAGAAAAGTTAATCAACAACAATCCAGAAATGTCTCAGATGATAGAATTAGTAGGCAAGAACACTGAAGCATATTTACAACTACATTCCATATGTTCAAGACATGAAAGGGAAGGAAGCACATTAAGGAGAGACATGGCAAATATTTTTAAAAGGTGTAAATTGAACTTCTAGAGATCAAAGATATAATGTCTGACATAAAAATATACTGTTGGCATTA